CTTGGAAATTTCTCTTCTATGTTTGTAAGCTGTATTACCTAATATAGGTTCACACTCACTTTTTCTTCTAATCTCATTCTTGTGCTACTGCGATCGACACTGATGGTTCTAAATCTTCTGAAGATGTTGGATATTCATCAGTTATACAGGGTCATTTATTAAACTAGTATTTACACAGCTGAGTTGTATGCAATTCTCATGGCCCTCAATAAGTATGGCATCAATGCCTACCTCAATATTTGTAATAATTTTAGACAGTGCATTACAAGCTATCCAGAAATTTGATTCCCCTTATCCCATTTCTAGTAAATGTAGACATCTTTGTGTACTGGATATGTAAAAGTTTGGGCAGACTCCACTGTTCAGTCTGCAGTTCATGACCTCATTTCATATAGGGATATTTTTCAGTTTCACAACCACTGGAGGTCTGAATTAGTCTACAGTATATTGCATTCTGTCAAGTCATATTTAGGTTTCTGGTGATTGTCTTAAGGAGACCACTCACAGGTTATTGTGGAAAAATGTTTGGCACCACTTTGAGACTTCCCAAGTTATCAGTTTGCCATCTCTTAGATTGTCCCGTGTCAACAGACATGCAGAATTTACCTCCAATGTCTTCACTGTTCTAATTTACTCTACCTAACCTCTTCACTGTATGTCCAACCTTTGACTTTTTATCATACTTTTCCCTCACTACCCTTACATTATAACTACCTATTGCACACTCCTTCCACAAATTAAACTGTATAGCCCTTGTGGCTTAGCGCTTCTTTTTGATTATAATAATAATAATTCCACAAATTAGTCTCTGACCTTTTCATATTCCTGAATAGTATATGTGAGAACTTACTCAACCCTGTCAGATCTTAGGTAAATATTTAGCAGGGCTGGCTCCTCCTCATGTCAAGAAATAATGGAAAATATAACAATATAAAAGATAAACATTTTATTATAAGAATTCATGTAAAATAATAAATCATAAGAATTAATAATACTTGAAAGAAAAATGAAATTCAATAGATTGTCATTTGGCACGATTGAAGAATTGCGGCACAATTTTATGCAACACTAAAATTAATTTAACACATTCAGTTTGCAGCTGGGTGGGGGGGGGTAGGATCCCCTTTTCGTCAGGCGGCGACTTCCCTTCATTTGTGTCCAAATTTTCTTCTCTGCTACAAGCTAGCTGTGTTTGTGAATTGTGTTTTGATCTTTTAATTACCATACCCTGTATCTGCCAAGCAATCATTACACTCGGTAGGCATACCAGTGTTGTTGAAAGTGACAAGAAAAGGTATAAGCATTTAAGTCTTAGAATTTATGAAGAAAATAGATATTAGACGAAAGATAACCTGTGGCCATAATGAAGCTCGCTTTGTGCACATGAAATGAGGTAAATGTGAGTTTGTGAGATTGAATGACTTAAAGTTAGACTTTTTCACTGAAGAGGACCCTGAAATGGTGTCTAGAGCATCTGATGCCTTACTGTCAATTGTATATTAATGTACTGAAGGGTAACATAGAACAGAAATCCATTACAGAATTTATGCACACTCTAGTACAACCATCAACTTTAGTACCAGAACCTCTACCATCCACCTCAGCCCACAGCATAACTCTTCACAATCATACACCAGTACCCACAACTTTTGTTATTTAAGGTAAGAAATATTATTTCTGTTGCATTTGTAATCTTAAGCAGTAAAGACAACATAATACATCACTACAGTTACATATTCACTTATTTTTGCAAGATGTGGAGGCCTAAAAAAAATTGTTTGAGGCTCCCAGGAATGTAACCCTATTCTTCCATAAGTTCTCCAGTTCATCTAACACGGCATTTTCAGGAACGTAACTACCCTGTTAAATGATGGTCAAGACTCTCAAACAACTGTTCCCACAATACAATTCTGCCAAGAGGTGACCTTATCCTCTGATCACTTAAGTGTTGAAGACGTTGGATAGCCACTTTTATCACCACAGTGTTGTAGACTGCGAGTAGCCCGACAAGACACCAGGAACACTGGGTAGCTGGTTGGGGTGATCGGTTGTGTCTATTGGTGGGGACGTACTCTGGTAGATAATTCGGTCTCGTTCAATGCTCTGGATCTTTGCCCGATACCTGTTGTCCTTATCGTAACCTCGCCCGAGTCGGATGACCCACGCCGACACAACAAGGCTAAAATGAATAAATAAATACAGTTACAACCTGCTTGCTGAATCACTCACATGATAGGCGTATAGCCTTTAAAGAAATGGAGAGGATTGAAAAATGACTAAATTCAAAGGCAGGAGGAATAAACACAAGTGTACAGCCCTAAATAAGAGTGAAGCTCTTATTAAGAGAGATTCAAAATAGAATAAAAATACAGGAGTGGAACGCATAAATTACAGGTTTGATGGAAGCAGCCAGTCAAGTGATTTCTCCACTGGTTGGAGGTGTATACATCACATCTCACCGGGTGTAGAAAAGGGAAGGGGATAGCAGGAGCTAGACTAGCATACTGCCAAACAAACTACCATCACCGTACATTCATACTTTCCCTACTCCTATATATTGAACTTTTCCCTCACAGTATACAATACTACCAACAGATGAAAATTAGACACGTGCAACATCCGGGTATCTTTAAAGTAGATGTTTTTGCCATCCAGTGACTATAAATACAAATTTTAGGACAAAATTTGAACAGTAAATTATATACAAAAGATGAGGCAATCAGTCCCTCAGCCTTAGAGTTGGTGTAAAGACCACTGTAGTCGTGTTCTTCACACCAACTACTACTACTAATAGTTATAATACAGCCTCTCCTCACTTAACAACGGAGATAGGGACCTACGACCCCGTCAGTAGACCTCTGTGCCAGCCTTCACCCGAGTATCAGTGACAAATTTCCCGTTCTCTCTGGGACGCTTGTCCTCATCTATTTTGCCCGCCGGGGGCACTACAGAAGGGGCACCTGTTCATCGGCTCACTTTAGCCAGCTCCATTTTTTTTCGTTCTGCGGAAAATTCTTTTAACGGTCTTTGGTGGGAAGCCGGTTACTTAACTCAGGCGAGTGTGGGCGTCCCTCTCTGCTGGGCTTGGCAAGGGGGTCCACCGGATCTAATTGGAAACTTCAAGTTTCTATCTCTATTTACAAAGGAACTTTTGTTCCTTTTCTCTCATCGCCCAGCCTTGGGCAACAATTTTTTCTTGTACCATCGAGAAACCGGGCTTGATACGGCTTATGCTGTCAGTGGCCCTGATAAACCCAACAAAGAAAGAAAGACCCCGTCGGTAAATGAATTCATCGCCAAACGAGGAGCATACTATAATGCTAGTGGATTTGTGTCAACAATCTTTGATATTGTTTTAATATCACCTTTACACCATTTATAACATTTCTGGTATATTTTTAAATGTTTATACAGCAGTGTATATTGTAATAAACAGAATTGAGGAAATCAGTTCTAATATGCATTATTTAGATACAAATACTGGTCAGAGAGCCCATCGTAAGTCTGAGGCGTCGGTAAACAAAGTACGTCGCTAAGTGAGGAGAGGCTGTATCTATTTTACTAAGTACATGATACAACTGCAACAAACTTAGTTGATATTATTGGAATACTTTATGGAAAACCCTGGGTTAAGTGCTTAGTTTTGATTATAATAATAATAATAATAATATAGAAAGGTCCTGGGACTCTGAAGATCATGTTGAGAGAAATAAAGTTCAATATATGTTGTAGGCATTTTCTTCATACATTATATAAAAATAAAACATTACCGAAAAGCTAAGCAAATGTTACAAAATTCAGTAATTTTATTCCAAACATTTTGGAAACTGGTTATGCAGAACGTTTCGAGCAGTAACCTGATATTAAAATATGCACTGATAACTTATATTATTTGTGGATCAATGTGTGTCCCAACCTTATATGCAATTGTTTTATCACTGGTAGAATACACTGATAAGTATGTTAATAAGACAATATACAATTTATAACATTTTATTTAAAAGACATTTGGCCCACCAGAAACTTTTATTGCTCCCTGATGGAAGGAAAGTTTTCTCAATGTAATACAATAAAGAGTATATTGTGCTTTATTAATATAAACAACTAATTTGCTAGTCAAATAACTTTCTACAAATACTGCAGGAATGTAACTGCTATGTATGCATGGAACATGCAAATTTATGGGACACGATAATTACGAAGACAACAGAAGTCACTTGAGCAAGTTAGAGTATGTGTACTCACCTAGTGGTTACAGGGGTTGAGTCATAACTCCTGGCCCCACCTCTTCACTGGCTGCTACTAGGTCTCACTCCCTGAACCACGAGCTTTATCATACCTCTGCTGAAAGCTATGAATGGATCCTGCCCTCACTACATCGCTTCTCAAACTATTCCACTTCCTGACTACCCTGTGACTGAAGAAATACTTCCTAACATCCCTGTGATTCATCTAAGTCGTCAACTTCCAACTGTGTCCCATCTCTGGAACATTCAGTCTCTGTCCACCTTGTCAATTTCTTGCAGTATTTTATATGTCGTTATCATGTCCCCCCTCTCTCTCCTGTCGTCAGGTCGATTTCCCTTAGCCTCTCCTCGTAGGACATACCCCCTAGCTCTGGGACTAGTCTTATTGCAAACCTTTGCACTTTCTCTAGTTTCTTTACATGTTTGACTAGATGTGGGTTCCAAACTGGTGCCACATACTCCAATACAGTGGACCCTCGGCTAACGATATTAATCCATTCCTGAAAGCTCATCATTAGACAAAATTATCGTTAGCTGAATTAATTTTCCACATAAGAAATAATGGAAATCAAATTAATCCATTCCTGACACCTCAAAGTATGAAAAACAAATTTTTTTATACATGACACTTACCTTTATTGAAGATCTGGTGATGATTGATGGGATGGGAGGAGGGGAAATTGTGGAAGTTATTGTTTGGAAGGGAAATCCCCTTCCTGAGGACTTGAGGTAGCAAGTTCTTTTCCGGGGTTACTTCCCTTCTTTTAATGCCACTAGGACCAGCTTGAGAGTCACTGGACCTCTGTCGCACAACAAATCTGTCCATAGAGCTCTGTACCTCGCGTTCCTTTAAGATTTGCCTAAAATGGGCCACAACATTGTCACTGTAATAGTCATCAGCATGGCCTGCAATAGCTGTGTTAGGGTGATTTTCATCCATAAAGGTTTGCAGTTCAACCCACTTTGCACACATTTCCTTAATCTTTGAAGCAGGCAACTTCTTCAATTTCTCTCTCCCCTCTTCTGAAGCAGTTTCCTCAGGTGTGGCCTCTTGCTGTTGAAGATGCTCTTGCAGCTCATCAGTGGTTAGTTCTTCATTGTCCTCCTCCACATCCCCCCACTAACCTCCAACCCCAAAGACTTTCCCAATGCCACAATAGTTTCCACAACTGGCATAGGCTTCTCAGGGTTAGCCCCAAACCCTTCAAAATCCCTCTCTTCTACATATTCTGGCCACAATTTCCTGCAAGCAGAGTTCAAGGTCCTCTTAGTCACTCCCTCCCAAGCCTTACCTATAAGGTTTACACAACTGAGGATACTAAAGTGATCTTTCCAAAACTCTCTTAGGGTCAATCGAGTGTCTGAGGTCACTTCAAAGCACTTTTGAAACAGCTTTTGTGTAGAGTTTTTTGAAGTTTGAAATGACCTGCTGGTCCATGGGCTGCAGGAGAGGAGTGGTATTAGGAGGCAAAAACTTCACTTTGATATAACTCATGTCCCCAGAAATTCGCTCTGCCAAGTCTGAAGGATGACCAGAAGCATTGTCTAATACCAGGAGGCACTTAAGGTCCAATTTATTTTCCAGGAGGTAATTTTTCACAGTGGGGGCAAACACATGGTGAAACCAGTCAAAGAAAAAATCCCTAGTGACCCATGCCTAACTGTTTGCCCTCCACAGCACACACAAATTAGCCTTGAGGACATTGTTTTTCCTGAACACTCTGAGAGTTTCAGAGTGATACACCAATAAAGGCTTCACTTTGCAATCTCCACTAGCATTACCACACAACAAAAGAGTAAGCCCTGGTGTTCCTTTTCCTTCTGAGTAATGTAGGTCCTGTTTGGCATTTTTCTTCCAAAACAGGCCTGTTTCGTCACAATTGTTGGGGTTTCAATCCTTCAGCCTCTATGTACTCCTTGAATTCCTGCACATATTTTTCAGCCGCTTTTTGGTCCGAACTGGAGGCCTCACCATGCCTTATCACACTATGTATGCCACTATGATTCTTAAATCTCTCAAACTAACCTTTGCTGGCCTTAAATTCACTCACATCGCCACTAGTTACAGGCATTTTTTTAATTAAATCGTCATGCAACTTCCTAGCCTTTTCACATATGATCGCTTGAGAGATGCTATCTCCTGCTATCTGTTTTTCGTTTATCCACACCAATAACAGTCTCTCAACATATTCGAGTACTTGCAATCTCTGTTTTGAAAACAAACTTGCACCTTTTGCAAGAACAGCTTCCTTGATTGCCATTTTGTTGGTCAAGATAGTAGGGATGGTTGATTGAGGTTTGGTATACAACCTGGCCAGTTTCCGAGTCACGCACTCAACTTTCGTACTTTGCAATTATCTCTCTTCATTTCCATACTAATTCTCACCCTTTTTACCACAGGGTTGGCACTAGAAGCTTTCTTGGCACCCATGACTTACTTTGCAGTTACAAGCACTAAAAAACACTGTGATAATATGAAATGTACCGAATGTATGCATAGATGCGACTGCACTGGCTGGCTTGTAAACACTGGCACACACGGGGCAGCTGAGGTGTGCTCAGGCCACACGTGGATGCGTACCGGACGATCACGTTTGGGCGAGTTTTTTTTATATTGGCCAGGCCAAAATTTTTATGCTCAAACACTTCATTGGGCGGATTTAATATTATGCGATGCGTTCATTAGCCGAGGGTTCACTGTATAGCCCTAACGTACGTGGTGTACAGGGTCTTGAACGATTCCTTATAAAGATGGCGGAATGCTGTTCTTAGGTTGCTAGGCGCCATGTGCTGCAGCAGTAATTTGGTTGATGTGCGCCTCAGGAGATGTGCCTTGTGTTATTCACCCCAAGATCTTTTTCCTCGAGTGAGGGTTGTAGGCTCTGGCCCTCTAGACTGTACTCCTTCCCCAATCTTCATGACTTTGCATTTG